AGTGCAGCGTAAAGAAGGATTTTCTCCTCCAGTCCCACAGAATCAGAACCAAAGGAGGAGAAGAGAATACAGGTCAAGTCCTCATGCAGCCTCTAACCTCTACAGGGATGTCCAGGCTGGCCTGGGCACCATGCATATATGGATGCAGTGCTGCATTGCTTTCAATTCTCCGTAGTGCAAGCACCAGGTCTCTGAGCAACACTGGCTCAGGTGGACTTGAACCCTCCTTCGAGGCAGAGCACTCAGGTCTGCCTCATGATCCCTTGCTGGCTGCCCTCTGTTACCTTGATTCTCCATCCTTAGCCACCATTCTTTATAGGCATGCATGCAACTGGGGTGACTGGGTGAAACTTTAAGAAACTAGGAATAATGCTTCTTTAAGTTCTTACATGAAAGATGATACAGACACACAATGAATGATTATTTTCACTTTTTCCTTCCATGCTGTGATTTTGCTCAAGATCTACAAAAAGAGTTCTGTATGCCCACTGAATGGGCACCAGGCACACACTCCTCTGTATGCTTGCTTTCACGTCCTGTGCATGCCTGAGAAGACAAAGTCACCAGAGGAGAAGTCACCCTTCATTTTCTCTTCTTGGTAGAAAATGACATTCCACTTTCAAGGGAGCCTTGATTACACTTGGAGTTTGGTTTTGAATTCAACAGGATCCTGTCAAGTTCTGTCAGCACTCCCAGCTTCCTGATGGGACCAGAATGCAAACCGAGGACTGATGACTGATGAATCCTGCATGGGCTCATACCTCTATCACAACCCAGAACAAACTGAACCAAAACCTGGGGCAACTGAGAGCACGAACTGGGCCCAAATCTTAAACCTCAGACTAGATTTAAAGAAATCTTTTACAATGAGGGTGGTGAAACACTGGAACAGGCTGCCCAGAGACATGGTAGATGACCTGGAAACATTCAAGGTCAGGCTGGACAGGTCTTTGAGCAACTTGATCTCGTTGAAGATGTCACTACTCATTGCAGAGAGGTTGGACTAGATTGACCTTTAAAGGTCCCTTCCAACCCAAACTGTTCTGTGATTCAAATCTGGGCCAGGTACAGTTCTGGTTTGAGCAGCCTGGAGTTTGTCATTACGGTCTAAATCTGCTCTGGAATTAGCCAAGGATCTGAACAGTACAGTTAAAATCCCTAACTGAGCCCAGATTAGAACTGAATTCCCCTGAATCATCTTCACAGATACAATAGCCGATTAGTTCAGGTAAAGGAATGTCAATCTAAAACTCTGTTTATTTATTAAAGAAGAAGAATAAAGCAAACAGGAAGGTAATTCCAAAGACAACTGCATGGCTTACCTTACTCTAGTATACCTGGCTCTGAAGCCTACCAGTAAATGCCCCTACAAGCAAACATTACCACCAGGCAATACTAGTCCCCAAAGCTAAAGAACTGAGGAAAGGATTAAAGACTTTCTGAAGGCAGAAAGACATTTCAGGGGAGGCAAGGAGATGCTTGAAAGTGGGTGTGTCGGACGTTTAAAAACTAATAAAGTATTGTGCAGTTAAGCCCCAACTGTCACATTCACTGCTTCAGGTTCCCATGTTAAAGATGAATTACTTTGGCCGTCAGCAGCTTCATCAGCCAAGAGGGGCCATTCAGATGGACCCGCACCTATTTACTTTCCAGAGCTGGCTGTGCCTGCTTCATATTGCGGGGCCCCACACTGGTTGTTCAATGATGCTGATAACTCCTCTGGGAGCTTACATCCTGCTAAGCAGTTCACTGTTTAATTGAACTGACCTTTCCCGACAGTGCCCCTTGTATTAAAAGCTGCTTTACTTCCCAGTGAAAATGGTTTGATAATCATAATATTTTACTCAGTGGACAGTTGTTTAAGAGCAAAAAATAATCAGCTAAATTGGCAGACTTGCCTCTGGAGGGGCTCAGCACTAAGATGACAAAAGGTGCTGCAGATCAAGAGAGCTGGCAGAGCTGATGATCAGGACAGAGGCGGAAGCAGGGGCTGTGTTGCTCGAGGATGGGTGGCCGGGGGAGGTGAGCGCAGGCTGAGCTGGCACAGCACACTGGCCTGGAGCCGAGGCGAGCTGGCACAGCTTGAGCAAGGCACGGGGTGGGCGAGGGCACTCACAGAAGACACAGCAAGAGAAGGCAGCTCTGTGCAAGCAGAGCAGTGCCGGACTGCAGAGTGCCACAGCAGCAGCGGCAAGGAACATAGAGCAGGGCAAATATCTTAAGCTGGGATGGGGAAATGGCAAGGCACTTGCTTCTGTAATATAGGAATCCATCTTAGAGAGAGGTCTGTCTGAAGTAATAAATGCACACCAAATTCAGGTTTGGAATTGGAGCCCTTCAAGGACATTTGGAGCTGAGATTTTCAGTGTCACTTTTCTTAAATAGAGGAACCATTTGCCTTCAGAGCATGAGTGGCCCTGGGATGAAGAGGTCTTAAGTGAGAGGCACATTTGTTGGGAGCCCTTTTTTTTCCCTGTTTTCTTCTAGGCCAGTTGTCTTACCAGATGGTCGTGCAGCAGCTGGGAGAGCTCTCTGGGGCTGGGAGCCAAGGTTGTGCAAAGAAGCACATCCATGTAGACTGTTAAGCACCTGGTAACAGATGATGCTTTGCTTTTGACTTATGGTTATAATGCATTCACTAGCCTGAAGTATACTGTGCTCTGCTACACCTTCCCCTTCCCAAGCACAGCAATGTGTTCATTCCCAGTGCTTCTTACACAAAACTGGCATTTTGCAGGTCTCCCAGGTCAGCATAAGGGCTAGAGTGCCACATCACTTTCTCCTATTTTTCCACTGCAGGAGCAGCAATTTCATTTTCTCAGTTCAGCCAAACCTTTTCTTTCCTCTTAGTATCTCAGAGCTGCAGGCATTCAAAGAATGTGCTGTTCAGTAAGCTAAATTTTTTTCTTGTTCTTTAATCACAAGGACATTTCAGTTGTTTTCTTCTTTGTGCTAAAGCTACACAGGACAGGACAACACTCATATTTTCCCTCCCACGTGGGGTGTTTTGACTGCTTGTGTCTGGTTGAGTCCCTAGGAATGTGCGATGTGTGGGAGCTCTCATGGGCTTCTGGTGCCAGGGTGCTGAGATAAGGCAGCTGGGCTACAACCTGCTGCAGATTCATGGACAACACAGCCCCTGAGGTGGCAGGGCTGACCTGGAGGAAACACCAGGACAGTACCTGGGAGATTGAGAGTGCACTGGGGGGACCTACACTGGCTCCCATGAAGTGGATGTGCAAACAAAAATTTCCTTTTTCCATGGTGAGCCAGTACAAGCCAACATTGCTCCAGCTCTGCCAGGGCACCACACCCTTCAGCAAGTGTCCTGTTTCTGCCTGTTTTTGTTAGACAGCCTTCTTAGCTATCTGGTCAAGCAGTCACTAACAGGTTCCTTGGCCTTTGGAAGCTACCAGAAGTCCACTGCACAGAAATGTAACCACATTCACCTTCCTCATTGCCCTATCGTCTCTTGGCACAGATTCAGTCTCCAAGAGGACCATAGCTGGGCCTGAAGTTCTACCTTTGCCTCATACTTCTGTGTCTGTGAACCAAAACAGATGAATTGAGGAGATCCATCAGCAATAAAATTAACCCAAGGAGCTAAAATTGCAGTCTAACTGCAAGAGCTCCAGCTTGATTTCATCAACTCCCCTTTGAATAGCAATTACATTGTGAACTGATCAGTTCAAGCCTAAATCCTCCGTGTCTTCTTCTGATTAAATACCCATTGTCTAAACATCCATCTTATTCTCAGTACTTCTACTTATCAGTTTAATCAATTCCCCCATTATTCACCTATCTGCTTTAGCCTGCATTTTGCCATCATAATTTTTTTTCAGGTGATGCAAATTTGCAGTTCTTGTTCACTGTTAACTGCAAAGCAAAAAATACATCTTAGCCAGAATGTCTTCATTCTCCTGTGTTTCTCAGCTTTAAAAAGAACATTTAAGTTGCCTGACAATCACAGGGGACTGCCTTGAAACTTTGCATAGATTCCTTCTATGCCAGCCCCAAGGAGCAAGACTGCATTCAGGAAAATACAGTATTTGATGCTGGTTTGAAAAATTCATTGCCTAACCTTGTATAAGTGGTCCACAACATCTCCCCTGAGACAGAAATATTTTGTTAGTGGAGTATTTTGAAGAACTGCCTTTGAACGCCAATTTAAAGAAAGTATAAGAACAAGGATTCTTTTCATTTGCTGTTGGTTTTACTACATGCTTTTGATAAAAATGATTATGAGGAGGATATCTTTTAATTGTGGCCCCGGTAATATTTGCCAAATGATCCCTCCTTCCTTTTTATTTTTTAGCCTTCACAAAATGATGTTTTCACTTTCTCAGAAGGTTATGCAGCTTTATCCTTGCTTGTAGCAGTTTTTCTCAAATTATCTGTTTTCCTAAAGGCATTTTCTGTGTACAGTTTATCTGCAAAATTTCCCTGATAAATCTGGGGCCCTTAGGAAGGAAGGATTAAGCTCACTGCATTGCCTACTGTCCTATCTTTATTCTAAGGTATTGTCTGGTGGACAAGTTTCTAGCTGTGTTGGAGGGAGTTGCTGTATTTGGGGTTTGGCAGCAGGGGTGGATATAATTAGCTATAAATAAATAAAAGATAAAAAAGTATATTAACCAGGATTTTGATATGATATCAGCCATTCTGTAAATACTCCAGACTTTGGTGACAGGGAGTACAGAGAGCCAAACTGAACTTTATAGCACTCTTTCATCTCTGCTTTCTCTGAGACATAGCTCCAGCTCGCTGTGCCTTGCAGACTTGTAAATTTTGGAACATTTGTTCCCAGAGGAGCATTAGCCTGTTATAACTGATAGATTCAAAGAAAATATCATTTACCCAGCTTGAATAGATATTCTCAAAGTCACTTCCAACTGTGCATCTCCTTTTTCTTACAAGTGAGCAGTGACAATGTGATAGTAGAATATCACAGTAAAACTGAGAGTTTTATTAGCAGCAGTTCCACAAAGTCAAAAACAAACCTGTGCATCTTCATATGTGTATCTCCCTGGGTCTTTGACATTTTGGCTTGTTTTCTCATAGCTGTGGGAATCCAGGTTGATAGCACTTTGGGCCCCAGGAGCTAGAAACTCTTGCCAGATTTCTTCCACTCTGGTGGTTACGTCCTGTAGAGGTTGTTTCTTGAGATCTTGGACAGCCAACCAAAACCTGTACTAGGCAAAAATTAGAAGGGGAGAAAAGAGAAAAAGAGAGAAATCTAGGTAAGACTTTGTGGATAAGTCTGGGCAGAGTTCCCAAACACAGACGTAAAGCCTAACCCACATCTAGCTGAATTCACAGAAGACTCTCAATCTAGCACGATTTCAGGAGAAGGTGTGGTATACTTACACCAAACCCTTACACCAGGGCTAAGACCAGAACAGCGACTTTAAGAAGTCATTCTTCTTCAAACTGCCCCTGCAGAAGTGTGACACTAGGCATGCAAACAGGAAACCTCCAGAGCTGGGCAGCTCGAAGGGGGAGCAGGCTCTGCCTCCCACAGTCCTGCTGCAATCTGCTGGTCACTCCTGCCTGCAGGATCAGTTGTCCAGAGGGAATGCAAAGCTCAGAACAAACTTAGTATCATATCATTGCCAGGGTGAAGTTGTAGCAATGGCAATCACAGAAATCTTTTTTTTTTTTTTTTTTTTTTTTTTTTTTTGACTTGTAAACTGACCAGCATTCAGATGGATGTCACGGGAAGAGATGAATCTTGTCATGGCCATATTCCAATTTTACAGGGATATTTTCTTGACTGGACCACACTTACAGACTAAAGTAAATTCATAAACATTGAGAAGATAATCTTTTTGACAGCTAAGGGCATAATCCACATCTTGATCTGTGAAACCAAAGCCACGGAACATTTTTGCAAGAGAGACATGCATTATCTAGAAAAAAAAAAAAAGGGTATTTTGGTGGTGATGCAGGTTTATTGTTGACAGAAATATACTCTTTTGGGCAATTAATTCAGAAGACACTGGTCAACAGTAGCCTTTTGGTCTGGTCAATTCTACCTTCTAGCAAGAAAATATTCCCCAAGGCCTCTCCCTGAGGAACCCAGGTCCTGCAACCCAGCTGAACGGGCACAATAGCAATGTACAGGGCAAATAGGTACAGATGGGACCTTTGCAGCCACCTGCAATAACCAGCTCTTTCCTACCCCATGGCAAAGGAGCACATTGCCCAGCGATGACGAGGAGTGCAGGGCTCGCCTTGGCCATCCTTGCCCTGCACCGCTCTCGGACACTCGCCTCTGCTCAGCGGACTATGCAGCGGAGACGGGGTTTGGCTGGGTCACTGCCTGTTCAGGGGATCTTGCAAGAGCTGCACAACTTAGAAAATCCTGTGTCCCCTCCTTGTCATTATGGGACACTAAACCAGCTGAAATTGAACTGAAAGCCCGATTTCCCACCCTGAATGATTCAATGGTGCCAGTGTGCTGTCAAAGGCAAATATTTCCTCATGATGGAAGAAGGAAGATACAGTCTCTCCCAAACCAAAATCCCATTGGCAGTGAGGGTGGGTGGAGGAGCCAGCAGCCTGGTGACTCCTGTCCTGTTTCTGACCCTCTGCTTCCTTACCGGCTGCAGGCAGTACCTAACCACCCCAGAAACACTGGGGTTATCATAATCAAAGGAGGCCACTAACACCCATTTAGCCTGGTCCCCTACCTACAATACAGGGAAATGGCCAATTTGGGAAAAAAAGACATCTACACTGCATGCAAGGCCAATCCTCCTTGTCTGTCCCCTGCTCCTCCTGTACCAGGAGGGGGCCTCATGCCACAGTCCTGACTCACCCAAGCCACTCGATGGTATTCCTTCATACAGTTTTCCCTGCTCCCTGGCAGGCTGTCAGTAACACAGTCTGAGGTACACTCAGGCACTACAGCGGTACCTATGGAGTCATATCCTAGTGGCAGTCACACAGTGACATTTGGTTCTATAGAACGAAATAGAGTAATTGGGGTTGGTGGAGGGGTATGAGTGGTTGGTCTTTTTCCATCTTTGAGCTGTTAAGTCTGCCTGATGTCCTGCCTTGTTATTTGAACCATAAGTGACACCCTCACTTATCACACACACACACACACACAGAGTAGAGGGTGGCACTCACAGTGCAACAATCTGATGCCACATGTAGCTTTCTTTACTTCAAAAATATTTCATCATTCAATTTCAGATGTGATGGGAACATGCAAATGCAGAAAAGGGATAGAGAGAAAAGATGCTAGTCATTCCAGAGTAGCTGGGACACTTCAGACAAACACTTGGCTAGAGAGAATGTTTTCTGCTGGCTTATCTTCTGCCCCTGGAGCCGGGGAGGCGGGCTGGGAAAGCATGCACAGTGAGACAACCGGGCACACTGTGAAGTGACAGCTTGCCAGAACAAGAGCACCATCCATTTTAATAACCATTTGGCTCAATCTGAAAACCAACCAACCAGACCAACCAGACACTAACAAGAACAAGCTCTTTTTACTGCAAGCGATTGTGAATTCATGCCCAAGGCTGGATGTCCTCTTCAAGGCAAAGGGGAGTTTTGTCTTGGTAAAAATTTCAAAGCTATTCACTGTAGCTGGTATCTGAAAATCGAGGAACATCAAAGAGGGGTACCCAGCCCCGCAGTCTCAATTCCAAGGCAAATTCTCTGCCATGAGGAATCATCCTGAAACCAGTGCATAAGCAGGGTTGCCTATGGGATTTATACAGCACTTACAAGAGAGAAGCAGGTATTTCTGCCCAGGAAAGGAGCAGACGCACAACGGCTGCACTGGAATTTGTGCTCAATTATAAAATGAAAACACCCTGAGTCAATCCCACAATTTCTGAAGCGTAAGTCCAGTCCCAAAGAGTCAGCAGAAGATCCCGCACTGCCTCCTCCCTTTCTCTGGGAGGCAGATGTCCGGTGGAGACCCCTTGCACAGGGCAGGGGAAGAAGGAAATGTCCTTGTGTGTCCTCTCTGCAGGCACCCTATAAACAGAGCAGGACTGGCACAGGGACTGCACAGAGGGAACAGCAGCATTGATTACAGGTTCTTTGCCCTTTATAAAACAGCATGTAAGAGCTGGACAAGGCTGATAATATGGTATCCTAAACTGTTGTCAGAGGCGTAAAACATTCCAGCCTCATCCAGTTTGTAATTAAGCTGCTGTCACTTGCATATCCCATAATGGTGCTTTATCCTATGCAGCCCCCTCAAGGCACTGAATGCTCCTGGGCCTGAGCACGTCAGCTCTGCCTCCCTGCAGGGTGCTGCGGAGGTGCTCAGTCACTGTGCGCTGCTGCTCGCAGATGCCCCTTGGTAAAAAGACTGCTGGGGAAGGACAGGGTGTAGCTTCTGAGGTACACTGTAAAACAAAAATTAATTTTAAAACCAGTTCAAGAGGAGAAATATGGATGACTCCAGAGACTGGGGAACGACTGTCAACATAAGGACAGTGCTGTATCCCCATCTTGGGGGAGGACATGACACCACCGGCTTGGCAGTGAAATCACCAAGTGACTATCTGAGTTTGGAATATGAGCGCACTCCTCTCCTCACTCCAGCAGCTCCATGACAGCATCTGGTGCACCTCCTGTCTCACATCTCTCACCATTCACAGTCTTGTTCTCACTTCCTTTCCCTGAGAGAAGTATGATTTTAACATCACAGTTAGGAGGGGAAATAAATTAAAGTAATAGGTATAAATCAACACGCAGTTCAGAAAGGGAAAATATTTACATCCTTGTGTTGCTTAATAGCCAGATCCTGGGCAGGGTGAGCTTGGCGTGGCTGAGAGCAGCAGCAGCCTGCGCGCTCCGTGGGGCACTAGGGCACAGGCCTTCCCTAACGCGGCACTTCCAAGGAGGCCACAGCGCCGGTGTGAGCAAGGGCGGGCTTCCCGCTGCCCCGCTGGCCCCCCCTCACCATCCTGCCTCCTCCCTCCTCTCCCAAGCTGCGCACCCCACGGCCAAACCCGAAGTCACTGTTCGCGCTGCCTGTCGGCTGTCTGGGGCAGGACGCGTCTCTCCCTAGGGCAGCACCCCGTCGCTCGCCAGCGAGCAAACAAGATGCCCGTTCGCTCAACGAATGGCAGCGGGCACGGAGAGGCTCCGGCAACCTCCCTCCCGTCTGCCGGGGGCGCAGGGCAGGCCCGCAGCCGGGCCCGAGGCCCGCACACC